TCCCTGCCAACACATTCCAGACAGTCCGGTGTCTGGTGACATCCGGTGTCCCGTGATGTCCGGAACACCGGGCAGTCCGGACTGGTCCAGACACAGGTCCAGGAAACAGTCCGGAAGTGTCTGGTGTTCGGGTCCGCGGTTACCATGCATTCTGGAAAATTCGAATTTTTTTTTTTTTTTGGGCGCAGAGGCCATGCTAATCTTCTCTGTATCTTTCCATTATTAACGGATGTCCCGAGGAAAGGGGCCAAAAAGTTTTCTTGCGCAGGGGCCAGAATTTTGGAAAATTTTTGGAAAATTTCGGAGAATTTTGAAAGCTTTGCGAAGTTACCAACATTCCCAAAAAAAACAAAAAAAAATGTAAAGACATTCTAGATTCTAGATCAATCTGCAATGAATTGCCGTGAAGTGCGGGCTGTACACTAATCCTCTGCTGCCTGTTTTGCGCTTCCCGGGATTCAATCCCGTGACTGGAGTTGTGTGTGTGTTTGTTTGTCTGTGTCCACTAACTGTGTTTGTTGTTTCCTTGTTTTGAGGCTTGTTGGGCTTGAACCTTAAACCTGGTGCTAGTAGTCCCTACTTCGCAGTCTTAGGCCTTTCAGCCTCGTTGTGTCGTCCCTCCTGCCCTTCTAGAAACCGGTAGGCCGTAGGTCTTTCTTTCGTGTGTCTTAGCCTTGGGTCCCCTTAGCTCACATCTCCATCTAGATACAGTTAGGTCGATCTTGACTACTAGGCCATAGATGTTTGCTGTTCGGACGGTCAGATAGGTCTGTAGGCGGCTGTTGCGTCGGAGGCCTAGGGAAGTCGGGTAGAAGTAGGCAGGACAGATTACGGGTTCTGTGTGGTCATTTTTTTTCCACGAAGTGCTGCTGGAGGTCGGCCTTGGAGCTGCGCTAATTTTAGCGCTCGTTCTTCTTCTTCCTCGAAGGGAAGTGGGCGGCCATAGCTGGGGTTACGGGGCTTGTGCAAGTCTGGCCCGGGCATCAGGCCCAGCTCTGGGAGGCGCTCCTACATCGCTGTCCTGTTGGGGTTAAGGCAGCTGCCATCGAAGCAGCTCTCTCTGATGCCGATTTCGAAGTGGCCAGCCATCATCTTCGTCGAGTTGGTGTTCTTCTTCGCTGTCCAGGGAGCTACCCTCCCTTGTTGGTCCGACACGTCATCTGCAGACGGCGTTGCGACTGGACTGTCGAGTGACTGTTTCGGGGCTTCATGGGTGGTGGCAATTGGTGGGCTTGATAGGTTGGGTGCAGGGGCCTGAGCCATAGCTGTGAGCTCGAAGGTGTGGGAGGAAGAAGAAGTCTCCCTCAATCAAACTCTGTAAATAATTTGTTCGTAGATGTTGTTAACGTGGTTGGGATTCTCGGAATTCGTGCTGTTGATTGAACTGGGGTGAGATAAAGTTGACAAAAAAATAAAAAAATGAATTTAAAAAAAAAAAAAAAAAAAAAAAAAAAAAAATCGTTTCAATTCTAAATTCTAATTTTGGTATCTATGTTCTTCCGCTGTGTATTCCCACCTTCCGGTTTGGTGGATTGCTCTTACTCCAAGTCTACTTGTCATTGTGCATGTGTATGGGAGCGTGTGAATGTCAGGCTGGATTCATTTTAAATCAGGCACATAACAAATCTACTGTGGAATACATGTGGGGAAAAAAAAAAAAAAAAAAAAAAAATAAGTTTAGCAAAGTTTAACAAACCAACCGCTTTTCCGGACATCCAGGAGTTCTTTGCAAATTTCCATCAAAACAATTCATTATTGGAAAAAATAATTTGAAAAATCTTATTCCTGCAGAATGCATCCTGAGAGCCAGACTCCTCGCTGGCAAATGACCAAGGTTCGAGCCTAACCTGGACGGTCTTCTGGTCTAGAGCTTGAGTCAATTCTGCTCTCTGTTTCAAAAGGGAACTCAGCAGAACCTTCTTGATGGGAAGATCCTCTGTGCCCTGGCTGCACTGAAAGCATTAGCCAAAAATACCCCCCCAAATTTGATCAGCGCAAGATCAGTATATACAACAATCAGGCTTTCTTCCTGTTTTTTTTTTTCCTTTTTTTTTTCCCCAAAAGAACACATGATCCTTCTATTCTGGGCGGCTTCAGTCAGGTTGCTTATCACCAGCAAGGAAGCATTTACAACCAAAGGAAAAAGGGAGAGACAGGCAAGGCAGAGGGTCGGCCAATCCCTTGTGGCATGAGTCACCTAGGAACGGGGGGGAAAGGCTTTCTATTTCTTTCTTTCTGTCCTTCTTTTTTTCCTTTTTTTTTAAATTTGGACCATTTCTCGATTTATGCGTGTCATCCTTTAAAGCGCAGGGGCCATGCTAATCTTCTCTCTCTGTATCGTTCCAATTTTAACGGATGTCCCGAAGGACTTCTTTCTGTCTTTCTTTCTTTTTTTTTTTCTTTTTTTTTTTTTTTGAAACACACAGGCCCCTTCTATTCTGGGGGGCAGCAGTCCTGTTATTTATATCCCCGGCAAACATGTTTGCACAAAAACAGTGGGGGAGAAAAGAGGAGAGAGAGGAGGGTCAGCCTAACCCTTGTGGCACTAGCCGCCTGAGCAAGTGCGGGCTGCTTCCGTGCACACCACCCCCAAACCTTTGCCCCTCCATGGAGGATTGCACTACTGGCCGGGAGGCTTCCCAGCAGCACCCGGACACACAGTAGAATAATCCCCCGAGGGGGGCATGGCGCGAGGGGGGGGGGGGGGGGGGGGCGTTCAGGGCAGTCCCTGATGCCGCTTGCCAATCGTCAACTGTTTTCTTGCCGATCCAATTCTTGCCTATTATCTGCCAACTGCAATCCCAGGCGTGCCTGCCTCTTCCACACAGCCTACCCTGTTCCTGTGTAAGCCTTTCTCCACCTTTGCTTACTGCAATCTAGGCGTGCCTGCCTCTTACATGCAGGCTGCCCAGTGCCTGAGGATTGCAGTAGGCAAAGGTTGAGAAAGGCTTACACAGGAACAGGGTAGGCTTTATGTAAGAGGCATGCACGGGGGGCGTTCAGGGTAGTCCCTGAGGCCACTTGCCAATCGACTGGGTAGCCTGTATGTAAGGGGCATGCACGGGGGGACGCTCACTGCTCAGCCCATTCTCAAGCTTTGACATCCCTTACGCCCCATCTAACTGTCTGTAGACTCTGTACCCATTGCCTAAGTCCTTTTGCGGGGCCTGTTTCCGTTCCTCCACACCCGCCGTCTCTCTCTCTCTCTCTCTCTCTCTCTCTCTCTCTCTCTCTCTCTCTCTCTCTCTCTCTCTCTCTCTCTCNGTTGTCATATTCACTATATACTGAAAAAAAAGCATGACTGTGACAGACTGTTTCGTAGGACTCTCTCTCTCTCTCTCTCTCTCTCTCTCTCTCTCTCTCTCTCTCTCTCTCTCTCTCTCTCTCTCTGTGTGTGCGTGTGTGTGCGTGTGTGTGCGTGTGTGTGCGTGTGTGTGTGCGTGTGTGTGTGTGTGTGTGTGTGTGTGTGTGTGTGTGTGTGTGTCACAGCATTAGCAGTAGCCTTGAGTGGTCTTTTGTTTCTCCTATTACTCGGAATTGCCAAACCTTGATTATGTTAAACCACAATCACCGAACTGTGGCTTCCGGTTAATTGTTTCCTGTCTCTGCAAGGATGCAAGGGTGGGCTTATTGTATTACAATAGCACAATGACAACTAAAACCTCATACAGCCTCTGCAAGGATGGCACGCATTAGTCAAGAAATGCTCCAAATTAGCAAAACAAAAAGAAAAGGTTAAAAAAAGCCCTAATAGATTGATAGTAACTTAAGCAGATCTAACATCGCTGTTGCAGTAGAGAGAGAGAAAATATAATAATCACAAAATGAAACCGGCCTCAAAAGGGCCAGCAGCCTAGCTCGGTCGGTAGAGCACCTAAGTGACATTCGGGAGATAATTGGGTTCAATTCCCCACGTCGTCCATTCGATTCGCTGTCATCCATTCGCTTCCCCACACCCCCCTGCAGCGCCTTTTGGGATCACCAGCTGAGATAATTGATTGTACCCCCCTGGTTGATCTTGAAAGGATTGCTGCGGGTCCTATCATCCCGCAATAGGGGTCATGAGCCTGGGTACCACTCCCCTCACAGAGTAGAGTGGGACTTAACCTGGGTCGCTTGGGTAGATAGGTGGGTAGGGAACACTCTTAGCTTGGGAATAGATAGGTGGGTAGGCTGCGCTCTCGTGAAACCCATAACCCTTGTTGCTGGTTGTGCATAGATATGGATTGCAGGGACAGATAACATGGGGTAAGCAGGTAGCTAGGGTGAGGTAAAATTTTTGAGAGACTCAAAGAAGAGAATAGCGTAGTGATATGGCTGTCTCAGTGTCCCCCATACATGAGGAGGAGACAACTTTTTTCGAAAAAAAAAACAACGAAAAAAACGGCCTCGTGTGGTCTGTAATACAAGATGCCTTTTTTTTTTTTTCACTATTTCTTAGTATCACTACCTTAGACAGCTGTTGCATCGCCTCATCGAGAATTGGACGGACAGCCTCTTCATCCTGACAGCGATGACTGCAGTCTGTCCCCTCCTTTTCGCATACGCTACATCGAGGAATGCCAGATACGTCATTATCAGCAGAACTGCGTCCCGCATTTACATCATCGACTCCCTTGCTATCGTCTACGTCTGCCATCACAGCAGCCTTCCTGCTCCTTGCTTCATCTCCATCCCCCTCCTTTGCCTCTCCCTCGTTTACTGGTCGGCTCTCCTTAGCATCTGAGGAGTCGGCAGATCGTAATTGCATTTTTTTCTCCTCGGCGTCACTTGCAGCAGCAGCCGCGTCGTCTTTTGCATTTGATCTTTCCAGCGTTGTGCTTTGCTTTTCCGTCTCGCTATCGACTTTGCTGTCGCCGTTCGGTTCCCTACTGGGAACCATGACCGCCGGATGGGGTGTGTGTGCTTCACAGTCATCCATGCCGCAAACGGGAGTGGTGGGAGTCATCCATCCATCAGTGAATCCAGATTCTTCATTGTTCGCCTCAGATTGGTCGCAGCAATCCTCCAGCGCAGAAGCAGCACCATTCTCAAAGTCACGGATAAGCTCTGCTGAATGGAATATCTCAACAATTTCTTCATCACATACTCCTGCAACACCGGGAAACAGACCTGCAAAAGTATCACCACTTGTCACTGTCTGTCCGGCTGTATATACGTATGTACATCTCTCTCTCTCTCTCTCTCTCTCTTACACACACATACACACACAATCATTTCTATCTATGTACTTCTTTGTTCTCTGTATTTCCTTCTCCC